TGGATATTATCCTGTCACTGACAGCATTGTACTTCAGGACAGATCTTGAAACATCCTTTGTGATGATGAATGCCACACCATTCCTCTTCAAATTGTCATTCCTGGCATAGTAGATCATATGGTTGCCTGATTCAAAATGGTCGAAATCAGTCCATTTCAGCTCACTAATGCCTAGGAATATCAGTCTTTATGCATTCCATTTCATTTTTGACAACTTCCAATTTTCCTAGATTCATACTTCGTACATTCCATGTTCCGATTATTAGTGGATGTTTGCAGCTGTTTCTCCTCAATTTGAGTTGGGCCACATCAGCAAATGGAGGTCTTAGAAGCTTTCTTTATCTATATCAGTAAGGTTGGTCCTATTCTGATGATGCAATTCTTTTCTAGTCATATTTTGAAACTCTTCATCACATCAGTGGTTACTGAATCATTTTGAAGCAGTTCAAAGCTCTGGTTCAAACCACCAACCTTTGGGCTAATAGTTGAGTACTTAAATATTTGTGCTACCCAGGGACTCCATTTGGAGGTCTTAAAGCCAAGTGATAAGTTTAATAGCTATGTGAAGTGTGAGGGGGAGGAGTCAAGAGTCTAGATTTCCAATTTGGGAGAATGGGAAAATGGCAGACCCAAAAATGTGAATAAATAAGTGTATAGAAGAAGGTAGTTTGGAGGCAGAAAGGTTGTAAAAGAGCAAATGTACGTGAAAATGCCAAAAAGTGTCTAGCCCTATAGGCACTCTTTAAACTGACAGCTGATTCTCCTCATAATTTATTAATTTATTCACTTCATAAAATAATGTATCATAGAGCTCTTTGAAATAGCAAACCTTTTATAATTTTGAAATAATTTTTTACTCAGTGCACAAGCTCAGTATTTAAAGCATTTGATGTATTTAAAACAAGATAGATCTGAATTTATAATCTTTGGCCATTTTAACTTTCCATTATTGATTCAAGTAGTAGTTGAGTACGTACTCTGTTTCAGATACTATTCTGGGTGCTGGGGATACAGGATTGAACAAAGCAATTTTAAAATCAATAATCCTTAAGGGGATCATGTTCTAACTATGTTTATTTGGCCTTTTTAGCCATGTTAAGTAATCTTTGAGACTGTTCCATAAATAATACCTAATTGATATTGATATATTTATTAACAACTCATAAAAAAGTTCATAATAATAATTAGTCATTCATCATATATGCATTATTTTTATAGTTGAAGTTTACCTTGGATTTATAACTTTAAATATTTTCATTTGTTTGTATTAACATATTGTTTTGATTTTCTTTTAGTGGAATGTTTCATAGATTTTCATAAATAAAATTCTAACAGGCAGCTAAATTTGAAAGCAAATTTAAGCATTCTTTAAGTTTTTACTTTAGGTGTTTAATTTTTATTTTTAAACAGGTTTTTTTAATATATTCTCTTTAGGTATACAGAAGAGAAGTAGAAGAAAATGGAATTGTTCTGGATCCTTTGAAAGCTACCCATGCAGTTAAAGGTGTCACAGGACATGAGGTCTGCAATTACTTCTGGAATGTTGATGTTCGCAATGACTGGGAAAGTAAGCTGCTGTTTTTAATGTATTTTTCATCCAATTGTTGTCTTAAATTTAATTTCAGATCCAACCTGGTTTTCTGTATCTTCTCTATAGTTTACAAAATCGATGTGGAAAATATCTAGAGTATCATATAGAGGACTAATAGTACCTAAAGCAGAGCATTTCACTTTACAAAATGCTTCCTAGTGTATCATTTGATATACTTGGTAGTTTGATATGCATGGTAATTCAGCATGTGAGTTACGTATTAGTATTTCTCATTTCACTTACAAATAAAGTGAAATCCAGGGAAGTTGGGTAACTCATCAGAGGCCACAGAGTAGTTGGTGGAAAAACCAGGACTAAAATTTAAGGTTTCTGTTTCCTTGTCTACTGTTGTCTAGTATTTTTAATCTAGGAGCTCATCCACTAACTGAAAAGTCAGTGGTTTGAACCCTGCAGCTGCTCCCATAAAGATTTACAGCCTTGAAAAATCTATGGGGCAGTTCTACTCTGTCCTATAGGGTTGTGATGGGTCAGAGTTTGACTAGACGGCCATGGGTTTTTTATTTTGGTACTTTTAACCTAGACTGTTTAGTTTCCTTAATAAATCATAGATAAATCCTGCTGTGCATACTTTAGAATAATTGTTGGCATGTATGTGTTCCCCTTAGACAACAAATTTAAAAAATACATTTACTCCTGAAGATCATAGATACTTGTCATTGGCAATTTGACATACTTTCTTCACAAATATAATCACCTAAGCCCAAGTAGAACAGTTTATTCAGCTTCAGTAAATTAGAGATTATAGTAAGGGCCATAATGTTAAGAAACTGTTTGAGCCTGAGCAGTACAGTGGTGGTTATAACTGCTTTCTGACTGTGGGAAATGGTTATCAGACCAAAGAAAATGATTTTTCCTGGTGATCAGGCATCACAGCCACTGTCTATATGCCAAACAGTATTAAAACTACCTTCCATTGGGTTTCACCTAGGTATGGCAAGCTTCTGTTCATTTTACCATAATGTCTATTTGGTAAACTTTTAACATAGGTAAAGTAATCACATTCTAGGAAAAGGTAATATGTCTTTTTGGGTACTAATACTGTTCTTTTCATTTCAGCAACTATAGAGAACTTTCACGTGGTGGAAACATTAGCTGATAATGCAATCATCATTTATCAAACACACAAGGTAAAGATTTCTTCATCTTAGAGGATTCCAATGTAATTCAAACTCAGAATTTGGCAAGAAATTATATGCCACAAAAGATCCAAAGAGTTTATGAATCCATGTATTCAAAAGGTACATTCAGCTCATTTAGAGCAGAAGCATATGCAGGCAAGAATCTGAATGAGAAGTATAATCTAGGAACTATATTTGGTAAACATCTGTAGTGGATTTCTCTTTATGTACACATTAAGTCATTTTACTTGGATCCACAATCAAACCCCTTGGAGACAAGAGTCAAGAAATAAGTGATGTATTGGACTGAGCAAATCTGCTGAAAAAGACCTCTTTCAAGTCTTGAAGAGCAAAGATGTCACTTTGAAGACTAAGATGCACGTAACCCAAGCTATAGTATTTCCTGTCATCTGCACGTGAAAGCTGGACAATGAATAAGGAAGACTGAAGAAGAGTTGATGCCTTTGAGTTGTGGTGTTGGTGAAGAATACTGAAAATACCACAGATGCCAGAAGAACGAACAAATCTGTCCTGGAAGAAGTACAGCTGCAATGTTCCTTAGAAGGGAGAATGGCCAGGCTTCATCTCACCTACGTCAGTCATGTTGTCAGGCTCAGTCCCTGAAGGAATGTATCATGCTTGGTAAAGTGAAGGGTCAGCAAAAAAGGGGAAGGCCCTCAACAAAACTGGTGAACACAGTGGGTGCAGCAGTGAGCTCAAGCATAGCCAAGGATTGTGAGGATGGCACAGGACTGGGCAGTGTTTCGTTCTGTTGTGCATAGGTTAACTGTGAGTCAGAATCAACTCAGTGGCACTTAACAACAACAAGTCTAGAAAAGAAACTTCTGAAATACTGAAATTAGTTTAAATACTTTTTCTAGTATCTGTGTTGAAGACCAAATGATAGCTACCAAGTATGAAAGTGAAGCAGAACTTCCTATAACGGTGATGATGAGTAGAATGAACAGTATATTACGAGCCTATATTAAGACTAAACCCATTGCCATTGAGTTGATTCCAACTCATAGTGATCCACATTGGTTTTCCAAGGCTAGAAATCTTTATGGAAGTAGGTTGCTTCATCTTCCTCCCATGGAGCAGCTGGTGGGTTTGAACCACAAACCTTCTGGTTAGCAGCCAAATGCCTTACACACTGTACCATCAGAGCTCCTTATGTTAAGACTAATAGATAGGAAAAATGATCTAGGTGGCTAATCCTGAAAGCAAGAGAAATTTACTGAGTATGCCTCTTGAGAAATTGATCATACATACCAGAGCAGACAGAAACTTTGTGATTTAAATTAGTTCCTGTTCACTTCATGTCACCTTCTGCTCTTGTAGATCCTTAAAATTGTATGGAGCCCTGGTGGTGCAGTGGTTAAGGCATCCAGCTGCTAACCATAATGTTGGCGGTTTGAACGCGCCAGCCACTCTGCAGGAAAAAGATTTAGCAGTCTGCTTCCATAAAGATTGACAGCCTTGGAAATCCTATGGGGCAGTTATACTCTGTCCTGTGGTGTTGTTATCAGTCGGAATCAACTCAACAGCAGTGAGTTTTTTGTTCCTCTTGTGAAAATTGCCAAATAATACATTGTATATCAAACAATAAAAGGAATTAAAATTTGGGGGAATGCCACCAAAAGCAAATATTGTATGTTATATAAGAAATATAATGATTCATCTTGTTTTTTAAATGATTTATTACGATCTGAATATGTGAAAATATATGAAGTTTTCTTTGTATTTCTTGAGCTCAGGCTTGTCATCTGAGAGAGCTTATATCTAATGACTGAGCTGGGCTTCATATTACATGGTAGCTGTTCAAGAAATGCTAACAATGCAGATGGTATTCAGCATACAAATTTTAGTGTCTAATGTGAGATCTAAAATTTAGAAAATGTTAAAATACCAGTTAATTGCCTTGTAATTTGGAATGAAGATAAATGAGCAAAAATTTAGGTACAGGAGGACCTTGTTATTTGAAGATAATTGATCCTGGAAAATATTCTGCTGAAGGTATTTCACTTAGTAAATAGTAAATGAGGGAGGGGAGGTGTCATATGGGTTTTGTTAGGATTATTTTTTAAAAAACAAAACTAAAAATTATGAAAATAATATATCTTATGTAACAAAAAGTTAGGTTATAATCATAATTATTTGCCAATTCTTCAAATCATTGTCCTGGCATAGTTTTTCCAGCAGTGTTGAATAACATTTTTCAACTTTCTCTCTTTAAGTTTGACTTCTTTTTGTAGTATGTAGTCTTTAAAAGGGCTATTCATTTCCTGGTTGTTAAGTCATTCTCCCTCTTTAAATTCCTGTCCTATCATCATCTCTGGATTTTTATTCCTTATTTCTAACTTGGCCAAATCCTCTTTTATTATTGACTTCACATCCATTTGTCCAAAACTCTTTCCGTAGACTTCATGAAATTTTACCTCTTACTCACTTTGCAAACCATTTATGTTGTACTGAGACTGAGTTGTCAGCTATTTTTAACTGTCAGCAGTCAGAGAAGACCCTGTGCATGATAAAGACTGAGTTCAGCTACATAAACCAGAAAACTCAAAATGAAAGTAGCTTACACAGCTACTTTTCTCTCATGTGAAAGTAGCTAGTCCCAGTTATCAGAGTCCTAGGCTCCATGTCATTCCAGTGGTCTCTTTTTCCTTACACACCATAAATCTGAAAGATTTCAACCCGCCTGATTTGGACTTCTTTCTATTGTGATTATGATATAAAAGGAACAGTCTTCTTCCTCGTAAACTTTTTTATTTAGGTCTCTGGGCATTTCAGACAGGTTTCATATTGTAATCATTCATTATTGCTTTGATTGTGTTGTTTTTTGCAAAGCCATAACTCAGTGTTCAAAAGTAATCCTTTGGTGACTATTCTCAGATGCTTTTCATTTTAAATTTGACAGATTTCACCTTCAGCTAAGATAATAACTGGTTTTACATTTCTTTTTTGGTAGTTCCATCTGAGTGAAAAGCAATTCAGTTTTCACAAGGTTTTTACTTCTTCCACAGAGAGTGTGGCCTGCTTCTCAGAGAGATGTTTTATATCTTTCTGCCATTAGAAAGATACCAGCCTTGACTGAAAATGACCCTGAAACATGGATAGTTTGTAATTTTTCTGTGGATCATGACAGTGCTCCTGTAAGTATAATGTACAAATGTGTGTAGTTGTACAATGTATAGCCAACTACATAATGCAGGACAAAGGCAATAAACATACAGTTCCAACACACAATTGCTTCTTAGATTTTGTTTTGTTTGATTAACAGCTTGAAATGGTATAGCCCATGTCTTGTCTGAAGGCAACAGTTGTGACTATAAATGTTAGCAGGACTATTTCCTTTTCTTCTGAAGTTAGTTGACATAGAACTGAATAGTATGTACAGGCTACTTCCCACTGTTAGTTCTTAAATCATTGTCAGTTATTAGCCAAACATCTGTGAATATATATTGGTTTTGGCTCTACTTACTTAGTGCCTAAGGCATTTGACTGCTAACCAGAAGGTTGGTGGTTCAAACCCACCAGCCACTCCTCAGAACAAAAGATTGGGCAGTCTACTTATGTAGAGATAATACTACCTCAGAAACCCAAAGAAGGGTCACTATGAGTCAAATTGACTTGACAGCAGTGAGTATGGTATTTGGTTTACTACTTAAGTAGAGAGGAGATCATTCTTAGTATCATATTACCTTGACACATATTACTGGTTCTCATAAAATTTTGGAGATTTTGGTTAACTTAAGGTAGTGTTAGACCAGCAGATACTGCAGAATTACTGTGTATCTGCTGTATGGTGCTTTGTTTTTGTTGTTGTCTTATTTCTTTGTTTTGGCAGCTAAACAATCGATGTGTCCGTGCCAAAATAAATATTGCCATGATATGTCAAACCTTGGTAAGCCCACCAGAGGGAAACCAGGAGATTAGCAGAGACAACATTCTATGCAAGATTACATATGTAGCTAATGGTATGTAATTTTCTATTTGTTTTTGCTACTTGGTAATCTGATGTTCTTGATTATGATGTGCACCATAACTGACAATTGGGACAGATGTCTTTTGTAAATTCCATTTTAGTTCCTTTAGATTAGTAATTTTTAAGGTAGAGAGATGTGTATCGGAATTATCTGGGAAACTTTCAGAATACACAGAACTGCTTTACCTTAATGGGAGCTCAGGTGGCATAATGCAGACCAGACTGCTAACAGACTGCTAACCAGAAGGCTAGTGGTTCAAACTCACCAGCCACTCCTCAGAAGGAAGGTTGGGCAATCTGCTTCCATAGAGATACCGCCTTGGAAACCCATTGAGGGGTTGCTATGAGTCGAATCAACTTTACCTTGGAACTACTGTATCAGATTTTGTGAAGCTGGAGCTGGATAAGTACCTTTAAAAACTTACTCTCTAGGTTACTAAAAGGAGCCCTGGTGACACGGTACCTAAGTGCTTGGCTGCTAACTGAAAGAGCATTTCAAACCAAGGCTTTGAATTCATTCAAACCATTTCAGCCATGGCCAAAAAAGTGAAACTGGAACAGACCCAGATTTTTTGAATTTTAAATTTGTTTTAATTGGGTGATCTGGAACACTAACCAAATGAGACAAACTACAGATCAAAGCCCTGGAATGGGACACTTGAAAGAGGTGTTGTTGTTGTTATGTGCCGTTGAATCAGCCCCGACTCATAGCTACCCCTCCTTGGGTTTCTGAGGCAGTATCACTACAGAAGTAGGATTGCCCAGTCTTCCTTCCGAGGAGTGGCTGGTGGGTTTGAACCACCAGCCTTCTGGTAAGCAGTCAAGTGCCTTAGGCACTATGCTACCAGAGCTCCTCGAAAGAGGTGTAGTGAGCCCTTTTAGAAGCCTGATACGTGACACTGGATTATTGCTAGGACTCTGGAGAGTGAGATACATTCCAAGAGGTATGGTCATTGAGCCAGGCACCACTGTTTTCGCCTCTCTCAGGCAGCAGATTGAGTTGCTATGCATTGTGCACGCTGTCCTTGTTTTCTGACAGGGAGATTAAGTTTGTAGCAGAGCTTTGACTCATAATTTTTCCCATTCCAGTTAGCATTCCAATTCACCTATATTTTAAAAATTCAGGTCTATTCTGGTGTCAGCTTTGTTGGCCATGGCTGAAACGGTTCAAAACATTGGTTCAAACCCACCAGCCAATGTGCCCAAGAATGGTGTGATTTCCATAAAAGATTTACAGCCTTAGAAATCCTTAGGGCCAGTTCTACTTTGTGTCCTGTAGGGTCACTATGAGTCAGAATTGACATGACAGCAGTGGATTTTTAGGTAACTAAACATACATCCTTGGTTTTACAAATCACTTTGTTAGATACTTGCTAGATAGAATGTATTCATCATTAGGAATACAAGCAACACTGGGAAAGGAGATTAATAGTTCCTTTTCTTATGGTTATACTTTTTAGTTTGCTGAATCATTGCTTCCCTGGTCCTTCTCAGTGTTACTAGTTATATATTTATTTCACATTGGCCTGCTGGTAGACAGCCATTTTCATCACTTGCTTTGGTTCCTACTGACACCCATGTCCTACTTGCAATAGCCATTGCAGTCTCTAATCAAATACTCACCTCTTCTTAATACAGTGCCATACTCCTAATATGCTTAAAGAAACTTTAAAATAAAACTCATACTCACTGCCATCAAGTCAATTTGGACTCACAGCAACCGCCTTTAGGTTTCTGAGGAGATAAATCTTTATGGAAATAGATTGCCCCATCTTCCTTCTGCAGAGCAGTTAGTGGATTTGAACCACCAGCTTTCTGGTTAGCAGTCAAATGTCTTAGGCACTGTGCTACCAGAGCTCCTGACTTAAAGAAACTTAGAGCTGAGTAACTTCGACAAGGCTATTTGATTATAGTAGAAGTACATGAATAAATCTCTAAATAACGTAAAGTGTCCATTAATATTTGCATATAATTTAGAGAACCAAGAACATTTTAGAAATGTAGTAAACGCTTTCTTACTTGCTATTGGAGTGTTACTGGTGATTAGTAATAAGGAATCAATAGTTGAGACTTAAAGAGATTCTAACTGTTCCAACTTAAAAAATTTTTTAAAAAGAAAGAAATAAATTTATTGCTTTACATGTATTTGGAAAATTATATCTTAACAGGTTTTAATTTCTCTTTGTCTCTTAGTGAACCCTGGAGGATGGGCACCCGCCTCAGTGTTAAGGGCAGTGGCAAAGCGAGAATATCCCAAGTTTCTAAAACGTTTTACTTCTTATGTCCAAGAAAAAACTGCAGGAAAACCTATATTATTCTAGTATTAACAGGTACTGGAAGATATATTTTATCTTTTTTTAAACTTTGATTAGTCTGATGACAGATACTAAAATATAGTTAATTGCTTAAAATAGTTGTTGTGTTTGATGATGTTCCCAAATACAGAGCTGAGGCTTATTAAAATTTTCTTTTTCATTATTTTTTCTGCTTGTGAAAAATACTGCCTGCTTAAAGAAATTTCACAAATGACCTAACAGAAGTACAAATTTCTTATAAATCTTACTTTACCAGAAATTCCTATTAAGTTGGTGGTATGTTTTTCCAGACTTTTCTACTGACATACGTGATCGAGTATTTGTGGAATTTAAAACAAATGTGTTTATTCTATATTACTATTTTGCAACTTAATTTTTTCACTTAACAATATACCTTGGATATCTTTCTATATAAAAATATGAGCCATATAAAAACTGTCTTGTTCTTTTAACATTTGTTATATAAATGTTGCATGATTTATTAACCAGTTCCGTATTAATATCTGTATTGGCTCCATATTTTCACTGTTATTAGACAGTGCTGCACTGAACATCTTTGTGCAAAGAGTTGAAATCTTTTACTTAATTTTTAATAAGGGATATATTAACACAATTCAAAAGTATGAGAAAATAGAGAGTAAACATAATTCCCTGTCCCTTATTCTCACCCAGTTTTTCCCACTAAACAGACACATACAAAAAAGTTGAGTAGTTACTGGTTTCTTGTTTATCTTTCTAGAGATTTTTTTTTTTTTTTAATTATAATTTAGTGCCTAAACAAGCAAATGGAGTTGTATTTCCCTGATACATACACTTTTTTGGTTGTTGATCTGTGTCTTGTTTTTACACTTATTTTATCTTGAAGGTCTTTCCATATTAATATGGAGCTTTTTCACTTTTATTTTTTGGCTGTACAGTATTCCATTATGTAGTTGTACATAATTTATTTAACCTGGGTAGCGCAAACAGTTTGCCTAGGCTGCTAACTGAGAGCTTGGTGATTGAGTCCCTCCCAGCAGCTGTGGGAACAAGGCCTGGCAATCTGCATTCATAAAGATTACATCCAAGAAAACCCTGTGGAGCCGGTTCTACACCGTAACATGTGGGTGTTACCATGAATCAGAATCGATAGCATGGAATGGGTTGGGTTGGATGTTTTTCTGATGGTAGATATTAAGGTTGTTTCTAGTTTTGTGTTATAATTGTATCCACATGTGATTTTATACTTGACAGTGTATATGTGGTATATCAATTGCTAATGGCATTGTTTGGATGTTTGTGCATTTGTCATTCAGATATTGTCCTCCTTCAAGGTTGCATTATATCCTCTCATCAGGAGTGTATTGGGGTGCCTGTTTCCCAATACCCTCTCTCACAATGTGTAACAGAATTCTCAAATTTTCCCAATTTGATAGGTGAAAAATACTCTTAGCAGAGTTTTAATTTGTATTTCTCTTAATATGAGGTTAAGCATGTTTTGGTCTGAGGGTCATTTCATAGAATTTCTATTCAATTTCTGTTTCACAGAGATCTATTTCTATGAAATGTCTTTTGGGTGTGAACATATAAAATTGTAATAGATAATACAAAATATAATATAAGCCAAAAAACTATTGCCATTGAGTTGGTTCCGACTCATAGTGACCCTTTAGGAGAGAGAAGAACTGCCCCCATAGGATTTCCAAGGTTGTAAATCTTCATGGAAGCAGACTGCCTCATCTTTCTCCTGCAGAGTGGTTGGTGGGTTTGAACCGCTTACCTTTTGGTTAATAGCCAAATGCCTTAACCACTGTGCTGCCAGAGCATCTAAATTGTGATACATAGGAAAAAGCAAAAAAACAAACCCACTGCCGTTGAGTCTGATCCAAGTTACAGCGACCCCTTCTTGGGTTACCGAGGCAGTATCACTCTGAAGTAGATCGCCCAACCTTCCTTCCAAGGAGTGGCTGGTGGTTTGCAGCCAGCCTTCTGGTTAGCCGTCAAATGCCTTAGGCACTACGTCACTAGAGCTCCCAATATATAGGAAAGAAACTCAAAAACTAAATTAATTATCAGATACCAATACAAAAGTTATTGTGTCTTAGATATCTAGCATTTACCAGGAAAAAGATTATCTGAAAATGATAAACAGGTTCTGGACTTACTTATCTTAATGGCTAGTATTTGGGGATATAGCCTAAGTTTCAGGGATTCTTTCCCTTCAAGTTAAATGTGCTACCTATTTTTAGAACACTGTGTGCTTTAGAATTATGGCCAGATCTGGTACCAAACCAAACCCGCTGCTGTCAAGTCCATTCTGACTCATAATGACCCTAAAGCACAGAGGAGAGCTGCCCCATAGGGTTACCAAAGCTGTAAATCTTTACGGAAGCTTCACATTCTTGCACAAAGATCTTTTAACCACAATACCACCCAGGGCTCCTTAGATCTGGTTACCCCAAATAACCCAGAAACCCACTCCTATAAAGTCGATTCTGACTCGGAGTGGCAATAGGACAGAGTAGAACTTCCCCAGTTGGGTTACCAAGGCTGTAAAATCTTTAGGGGAGCATACTGCCTCATCTTTCTCTACCAAGTAGCTGGTAGGTTCGAACCATCAACCTTTTGGGTAGTAGCCAAATGCTTTTAACCACTGCTCCACAGTACTTCTTAATGATTCTGTCTGCATCATATTTATCGTGTTGTTGTTATGTGCTGTCAAATCAGACCCGACTCATAGCGACCCCTCCTTGAATTTCTGGGGCAGTATCACTACGGAAGTAGATTGCCCAACTTTCCTTCTGAGGAGTGGCTGGTGGGTTTGAACTGCCAGCCTTCTGGTTAGCAGTCAAGTGTCTTAGGCACTACACTACCAGAGCTTCTTCATATTTATCGTATAAACCAGAAACCTGATGCCAGCAATCAAGGCAGAACACTTGTCATCTTACTCAACTGTCTGTCTCTTCCCATGGCCTTAAGGTCTATAAAGATCTACTGTTTCACTCTAATCAAGACTGAGTGAGCATGCAGCTATATCTGCCTTCCCTCTTCCCCACCTAGAACTCCAAGCTTCTTTAAAGGGACTTCCTACTTGACATTTTGATAACTGCCTTGCCAAAGAGTCTCAGATATTCAGCTAAAACAGAGCAGAAAATGTGGCAGTATGTTAAGCAAAAGAAGTTAAAGTGCACTTGTATTTAAAACTTGCTCTCAACTATGTCTGAAAAGAATACTTTAAAAAAAATAGTTCAAAGATACATACTTATACATTAATAGTGTTTGTCTCTAAACTGTTGAATTTGGGGTAGTATTTCCTCTGTCTGTCTAGCTATTCAGCCACAGTGCTTCTGTGTGTTTCTTTTTTGGACATAAGAAAGAAGGGGTTAAAATCCTTTTCATAAAATTCATCTGGGGGTGGTAAGGAGATAGCATATCTGTATACATGCATGTATGTTTGCAAAGTTATAACAGAAAAGACTCACTGGCCAAAGGTCTATGAAGCCTTTCAGTTGAAGTTGAACTGCTTTCTGATGAAGATCCAGATTCAAACTTAAAATGTGGTGAAAATCTTTTAATATGTAGAGTAGCATTTGTCTCAGCAATTATATAGATGTATAGAAGAAGTGGACTGTGGTATTGAAACCCTTGGAGAGCTAACATCTTTGGTGATGGAGAATTAGTAACTTTTAGTAGTATATATCATCTTTAGAAAAATCTTGTAAAAAGTTAATGAGGGGGAAAAAATAAAGTTAATGAGGTCCAAAGATGTTTGAAAAATTTTAGACCTAATTTGATAAAATCTGAGTAAGTTTCTTAAGGTAAGAGACAAACAAACCTCTCTCCCACAGCCTACATAAGTTTAAAAATTCTTGACATATAGTGTTTTACCCTCATTTTTACTGGGGAAAGGATATGCCAGTGTGTAGGGTATAATCTGGAGACTTCTTGTTGCTTCCCTTTTTGCTTACTTCGACATTGATTGCCCTTTTTAAATGTTTCCTAACTTTCAAAGGGAGCTGTAGTGGCATAGTGCCTAAGGCATTTGACTGCTAACCAGAAGGCTGGCGGTTCAAACCCACCAGCCACTGCTTGGAAGGAAGATTGGGCAATCTACTTCCGTAGAGATACGACCTTGGAAACCCAAGGAGGGGTTGCTATGAGTCGAAACCTAATACCTTCCTTCTAGGAAAGGTTTCAACTATATAAGGACAGTAATTTTATATTCATAAAGTGAAAAATCCTTGAAATACAAATTTTAATAGAGGTTCTATGCATTCCATGGATTGGAGGGTGGGAGGAATCTGCCTTGGTAGGCTTGTAGCAGTTTGTAATAATGCATTGCTGGGGTATTATGCTTGTGATTTTCTTTCCTGCAGAGATTGAAACAAGGCTGTGTGACATTCCATGTTGGAGAGAAAAAACAAAATTGAATGCTCTGAGCTGGAACATAGGATCTACAGCCTTGTCTATGGCCCAAGACTTTGGCCTTCTGTACAGAAACGAAGAAATACTGCAATAGCAAAGCTGAACCTCTAACACTAGCTGTCTCCTGCTAGATCTCCTCGCTCAGCATATAACTATAAATACATGTAAAAGTACATGTATCTGGCTATATTTTTATTTGCTTGCTCCTAGAAGAGAAAAAAAATAATCAACTTTGAATTACAACTAGGAATTGATGCTTTAATTTTTGGAAACTTTTTTCAGAATTTTTAATTGACTATGGTCCGGCCTAAGAGCCTCAGTTGTATCAGGTTTTGTGCACAATGAAAAGCACAGCAGTTGAACGCACACGGGGCTTGTGCTTTCTGTGCACCAAATATCTAGATGGGGCTCTTTTTTCAGGCCTGCAGTCAAATCTGTGTCCAGAATTTTTTGAATTTTTGCTTTGTATAACCATAGAATTCACTGCTGCTGATTTCTGTAATGATTCTTGTTGTCATGTGGAATGTCTTCTAATAACTGAGGGCTGTTGATGACCTGGGGTTTTGCCTTGTCTGTAGTCTTACTCCCATGAAGAACCTTGGTTCTGATGGAGAAAGTGAAAAGCTTTATTTTTTACCCCTCAGATTCTTTATATTTCTGTTGTATTTTTTAGTTGTGTT